CCATGGGAGAGTCCGATGCAAGAGCTGAGGCTTAGAGCTGCGCAAAAGTTGAAGGCACCCGGATGCACTTCCATACACCTGCGAGGCATTGGTACCACAGCGTCCACACCAAAACAATCCCTGTGCCACTGCGTTCACGTAGCAAACATTGGACGTGTTACGTAAGACTGCTGTAGGCATAGCAGCGTACTCACCCTCTACGCTCAGCCACATACCACTCGCAGGGTCCGGCCTGCGGAGTGGCCTGTCAGGGTCCATAGTCCCCTCCTCTACGACTTCGCCTCCTCCTCCTGGGCCGGCGCCGGCTTGCTCTGCTGATCCTCGCGCCGCTTCCAGTCGCATATGCTTGAGTTCTGGAACGTCGTTGCCAGAACCCGCGCCAGAGGCTGACGATCGATGCGCTCCTGCCGATGCCGAAGGCCTATGACCCGAAGGGCAGAGCACCCCACCAGGTCCGAAAAAGCGTCGTAGGCCGCGTCCACGGCTGCCGAGCGGATCCCCACGCTCATCAGAAAGGGGAGCACCGGGGATTGGTAGGTCTCGGCCATGGGCCTCGTCGAATGGAACCTCTGCAGGACGTTCACCTGCGGGAGGCTGCGTCGACGTATATCCAGAAGTTCCAGCACTTTGGAGTGCTTCAGTGGAATCTGGCCCGACTCCACCTGTTGCCGGGATTCTGGATCCCACTTCATAAACGTCCATACTGGGTCCAGGGCAACCTCCCCTTCTTTCATCCAGCCGTGTTTGATTGCTCCCGCTCGGGAGGTCTCGTCTGCAAGGATGTGCTGGAAGCTCCTGGATCATGCACAGGATGAGTGCCACCCTCAACGAGGTTGTTACCCCGGTCTTTTCCTTCTTGGCCTTCCAATTGAGAGAGGCTTGGTGGAGGAGTGGCAGGATGCCGTGAGCACCCGTGTCCAAATATAGGATAAAACCGCACTCGGCTCGAAGCCTGGCGTTTTCGTCCTCCAGCTTCAGTACCACCTTGGAAAGAAGCTTGACCAGCTCCGAGATCTCCTCCGGAGTCTCCTGGGACTGCTTGTCCTGGTTCCGGTTCCAGCCGCTCCAGCTGGATCCCCAGCCCTGGGACCACTGTCCCTTTCCCCGGCCGCCCTTCTCCTGGGCCTTTAGATACTTCGACTGTGGTCCATCCTCCTTCTCCTCCTCTCTTCTGCCCTGCTTGAAAAGCCCGACTGAGCCTGGAAAGATGTCCTCCATCTCCTTGTCCGCCACGGCCGCTGTCTCCGTCTCCGTCATGATCCTTGGCAATGGCAAGCGACAGCACGGATGCGTGAAAGACCGGACCACAGTGCCTGAGATGAGCACCTGGCTGCTTCACAACAGCTCCGCAGAACTGACAGGGGCTTTGGGCTACCAGGCCAGCTTTAGCAGCCCGATCCGCAGCTGCAGTCTTGAGCATCCATAAGTCAGGATGAGTTTTGCGCATGTGTGTTTTAACGCCAGAACCAGCATCAGATACCCATTGTCCACACTGTATGCACCAATTTTGAAGCACCTCGCACACTTCACGATCCTGTAGCAGCTCCCTCCACGAGTGGTTCAG